TTTTCTACTTGCATTTTTTACGTGCTTTCGAACTGCTAGGTTGGCAGAAGCTGGGATATATAACGGGAGCTCACCCTGTTATGTGGCATTAGGGATTCAAACGCTGAACTGCAGATCTTTCGATCGACAAGCTCAGCGTCTTAGTCACTGAACCACCATGTCCCTATTAATTATAATTAAGCACTACTTAATTAATAGAAACTGAATAACTGCAAATCCCAAAAATCTTTATCTTTTAGTTACATTCTGATAATGTTTCTGTGCTTTGTTGAGGGACACTGCATCCAAACATGGGTGATGATTAGAGTCAAAAGTCAGGAAAAGAATTTAGACAGCAGCAGAACATGAGGAAACAGGGTGGGGAGTGCAATTTAGAATTACAGATTATAAAGTTTCTAAAATGAAGAAAACAGAAGTCATAACCCCCTTTATAGAAATTATCTTCCTCAGGGCTTTTAGGTAACTTCCCCAGGTCTGTGTTGTGGCTCCGTTACCAGAGCCTGTGTCATCGTCAGGAGAGGACTCCGAGAGTGAAGGGGAGGAGTTGGCAAGGCCTCCCTCTCCAGGACCCTCCTCTCTGGCAATGCCTTTGGTGTCCGCCGAAGGGCAAGAGATAGGGCCAGGGCCAAGCACGTCCTCGCAGCCACAGATGGACAGTGATGAGAGTAATGAGTCTTGGATGGACCCATGCCAGCGTTGCAGAGATAAGCGCGCGCAACAGAAGAAAGGGCGTGCCCGAGATTAGGCTGAGTCACTGGACCACACCCCACAGGGTATAAAAGGGAGGTGGTGGCCAGTCAAACCTTGTGACGAACAAAGCTGAAAGTTTCCACGCCATTCTGCATTGCCAGACTTTTGCTTTAAGACTGGATTATCTCTGGACTTGATTGTAATTATTGAGCTGCTTTCCTTTGATGTATCAGAAGTGGGGAGAAGTTATCTCTCCTCTTTGTAAATAATAAACTCTTGGCATGCAGCCACTAGGTTGTTGCCAAGTTCCATTATCATAAGGAAAAGGATTTTGCCGGCTGGTTTGGTCTTTAACTCCTGAACATCTGTTGTGTGTGTGTGTGTGCGTGGGTTGGGGACAGAACAGTCTGGCATATTCCAGGCACCTCTAATGAAATTCTTTTAAGAAAGCAGTTGGGTTTCGACATCAGCAGCAAGAAGGAACAGTCATCATTTCAGTTCAGTCAGGTCATCAGTTGGAGCCTGAAGCAATTTTCTGAAAAAGTTCAAGACCTTCTTTGCGTTTGTGGCCAAATGCCATCTGACTTTGCTTATAAAGGGAGTGAGTGTGTGACTGAAGAAGCTAACTGCATAAGCAGCAAAACGCTTCAAACCAAAAAGAAAAGAAATCCAGTTGTCATGATTCAACTTTCAGACTTATAAAGGGAGCTTTTTTTAAATGCAGAAGGCATCCATCTCATGGAGGAGAGGAGAGGGTTAATTCCCAGGACTGAAACAAACATGGAGAAGGAATGTAGTTATTTTTTAACTAGGAACGCTTTGATAGAATTGCTTTGAACATAGAAGGAAACATGTCCAAGGAAACAATGTGCATTCCACATTGGGATGCTTTGGAAAAACATTTGGAGCCATCAGCAGTCCTAGAAAGCTGCACCTCTTATTTTAGAATGGAATGGAATGGAATGGATGGAATGGGAATAGAATAGATAGAATAGAATAGAATAGAATAGAATAGATAGAATAGAATAGAATAGAATAGAATAGAATAGAATAGAATAGAATAGAAACAGAGTTGGAAAGGACCTTGGAGGTCTTCTAGTCAAACCCCCTACCATTTCAGACAAATGATTGTCCAATCGCTTCTTAAAAAACTCCCAGTGTTGGAGCATTCACAACTTCTGGAGGCAAATTGTTCTAATAGTCAGGAACTTTTTTCTTAGTTCTAGGTTCTGAATCAGTAATTGTGCTGCTTTAATGATACAATTTATTAAAACAGAGCCATCTTTTTTACACCCAGACAATAGGTTGAGAATCCTACAGGCTTTCAAAAAGGCAGAGAAAACCTGGCTCTTTCCCCAAACCTTTGGGTCTGGATGAGCAGAATTTCCAATTTCCAAGAGCTATATAGATGGTCCTCAGCTTACAAATGAAATTGAGCTGGCCATTTTCATCATAAGTTGTGACATTCATAAAGTGTGGTTTTTCAGCTTTTTTTGCAGTGGCCATTAAGCAAATGCCACTGTCATTATGCAAACTCATTGTTTGCTATGCATTGGTTTTTCCAGGAACCAGAAGTAAATGCCAGTTTCCAGGAAAAAAACCACCGTAAATCGCAGTCACTGCAAATGATCCTAAATGCAGGTTTGTTGCTGAGTGCCCAGAATGTGGGCATGGAAATAGGCAGATGTTGGAACTTTGAATCCAGCTCATAAGTCCCTTTTTTGCTGTCTATCATAACTTTGACAAGGACTACCTGTAGTATATTTCAGTTCCAATCTACATTTAATTGTTTCAATTTTTGATGAGTGCTGTTTTCTTTTGTGTTTTATGCTTTTTGTACATCTCCCAGAGTCTCAACTCTTTCTGAGTTGGACAACCATCCATATCAGTGCTTTAAATCAATAAATGTGGTCTGCAGGTAACATAAAATCCAGATGCCTTTGAATCTTTTCTGAGAGATGTCAGTAAGTGTTCAGTGTAAGGAAATTTTTAAGACAAATATTCCAACTTTGTTTAACCAGAAAAGGGATATTGATTAACAGCTCAATGAAAATATCAGCCCAGGTAAATTGAATGCATGGGATTTGTTAGGAGAAGAACTGAAAATATAACTGACAGTATGATAATACTTTTGGACATATCTGTGAAGGAAACACACTTGTACTGTTCTGACTATCACTCCTTAAAAAGGGTAGCATAAAGCTAGAAAATAGTTGTGTTCAAAATCAATTAGCATCAATATATAGGCAGTTTGAATGAAAGTGCTGGAGGAGTGTCAGAGTACCCAAATATCCACTTGGCAAGAAATACGTTGAATAGAATGATGTCTTGAATTCTGTAATCTTTGCAGAAATCTAGGAATCAGGACTGTCCCACAAATCAACTTTCAAGTATTATACACTAAATGGCACATCATGAGACGTAGCCAATCAGAAATCGTCCAAGTGGCGTAACAGCATGAGACCTAGCCAATCAGAAAACCTACAGATATAACAGGATAATAGAATTGGAAGGGACCTTGGAAGTCTTCTAGTCCAACCCCCAGCTCAAGCAGGAAACCCTATGACATTTCAAGGCAAATGGTTGTCCAAACTCTTTTTAAAAACCTCCAGTGTTGGAGCACCCATGACTTGGAGGCAAGTTGTTCCACAGATTAATTGTTCTGTCAGGAAATTTCACTTTAGTTCTAACTTCTCTTCTTGATTAGTTTCCACCCTTCGTTTCTTGTCCTGCCTCTGGGTGCTTTGGAGAATATATTGACCCCCTCTTCTGGCAGCTTTTAGATATTGGAACACTGCTAACATTAAGTCCTTCTTTTCATTATAAAGTAGACATATCCAATTCCTGCTCTCGTTCTTCATATGTTTTGGCTTCCAGTCCGCTAATCATCTTTGTTGATCTTCTCTGCACTCTTTCCAGAGTCTCAATATCCTTTTTATCTCATGGCAGCTAAAACTGGATGCAATATTCCAAGCGTGGTCTTACCAAGGCATTATAAAGTAGTATTAACACTTCACATGATCTTGATTCTACCCCATCCAACCCATCCTGAGGGTACTGGGTGATAGAAACCTGACATAGATCTACCGGTATATATTTGGAATTGTACTTTTTCTCTGATGTAGCATCCATGCCAACCTTCCTTAACCTGGTTCCTTCTTCCATAAGGAAGATAGAAGCCTATCAGGGGCAAATGCCTGGTCTTATGGCATCTGGATGGATTTTCTTTCTGTAACCAATTTATTTATTTATTTATTTATTTATTTATTTATTTATTTATTTATTTTTATTTTTTATTTTTTATTTATTTATTGGTTCAATTTATATGCCGCCCTTCTCCGGAGACTCAGGGCGGCTTACAATGAGTTAAGCAATAGCCTTCATACTTTTGTATATACCTGTTTAGTAGGGCTTTCGCCCCCCTCCCCCCCAAGCGGTGTTCTTTTTATACAGTCAGCTTATTGCCCCCACAATCCGGGTTATATATTAAGAAATATTATAACTGAAGACAAAGGAAAAGACTTTGGAAGCACACTTTTTTTCTTCGTGTCTTTTCTATCTGCTAGTAAAAACCCGAAAAGATGACAGGGGAGTTGTCTACAAATGGAAACATATCCGGGGAAGCACTAACATCTATTTGAGCAGCATTTTCAGGCCAGATTAATTTCTTTTTAAGTGTTATAACAGCTACTTGAAAGGATTATCTTAAAAAAACTAAGCAAGTAAGAATTTGAATAGGAGTCCACCAAGAAAATCCTTGGATAGTGGACTAAATTGGGAAGCAAAAACCCTTCAAGTTGTAACCCCTTTCCCACTGTTGCCAAAAAAAGAAGATGTTAAGGAGTTAAGGTTGAAGAAGACATATTTGTTATCAGATCCTTTGTGTGACCAGAGAAGCGGAAGGAATGACTGCGTGTCCATTTTTGCTTGTTTTATTGCGATTTAGATGTAGTGTAGGAACTCTGGTTAGAAGTTGGTTCAATGACACACATAAAAGAATGGGACAAATGAACAGAGCAAGAGGCAATAAATCCAGAATAAGAAAAGCCAGGAAAATGCCACCCTCATACATATTCCATTTTTGTATGTGTTTTATCCAGTTATTTTCTCAGTGCTATTCTTGGCTGCCTTGGGAAGCTGTGCAGATGACAGAAGCCCCCTAGAAGAATGCTTCAAAGAAGATGATTATGAAGAATTTCTAGAGATCGCCAGAAATGGTCTGAAACAGACATCAAATCCAAAACATGTTGTGGTTGTAGGTGCAGGAATGGCTGGGCTTAGTGCAGCCTACGTTCTTGCAGGGGCTGGACATAAGGTAAGCCATTGAAGAATTACTTTAGAATGATGCCTCTTAGTCCCAACTCTTGGGTAATCCAGAAGGATAACATGATGGCACCAAAAGCCAATGGAAGGTCTACTAGGATTACGAGAGCTGCATTCTCCCCTCCCAGGTCCCAGAAATTATACTTTAGAGCAAACCAGCCTGTTTCTATCACAATCCTGAGTCTAGACCTCGGCTGAAAGGGATATAGATAATCCACTTCCTCTAGGATCCTATATAACTAATATCTTCATCCTTTTCAACAACCTTCCTCACAATGGGAAGGTGGTAGACAGTGCAAAAGTCATCACACATAGCCAAGTCAAGAGAGTTGTTTTAGGAGAGAAGTTCAAACCGACCGCCCTATTTAAAGACAATGGCATAATAACTTCCCACAATAAATCATTGACTACCTCCTAAATCCAGCCACCTATATACCTACCTGGCTGCTTACAAGAGCCAGGAAGGTCCTGGATCTAGCTGAGAAATGGAAGAATTTATGCTACAGAGAACTCAGTTCATTTCCTTGGGTTCCACAAGCTCAAATATATCCCAAATCATAACGCAAAAAGCTGCCTTCCCTTGATCTTGTCCAAATGGCATCCAAGAATAAAAATCAAGCAACTATCTGCAAAAATCCCTGCAAACTCATATGTGCCATTGCAGGTGCCCTGTTGTAACCACATTTTTTAATAAGGGGTTAGGTCACTCTGAATGGGTTATCAATCAGAAAATTCCAAATGCAATAAGCACAAAGAAGTATTAATGAGTTGCTGTTCTTAGTGGCAGTGACTCAAGTGTGGGTTCAAAAACACTTAGTAATCTCTAGTTTTACTTTTGTGCTATTTATGCTCTAAGAATGTCTTCAGTTGCTTCATTCCTGTAGGAACCTAGAAAACGAAAGAGTTGCTTGGCCTAAGAAACTGGAGAGAGACTGTGAAGGGGCAATCTTCTCCATTGCCCTCCCATCTCTAGGAATTCACAAGTTGTAAGACCAAGCTGTCCAACTGTTTGTCAGGATAATCCCCAAACATCCTCTGGAAACCCTGTAGATCAGGGGTCTCCAACCTCCAACTTCAAGCCTGGCAGACTTCAACTCCCAGAATTCCCCAGCCAGCAAAGAATTCTGGGAGTTGAAGTCCGCCAGGCTTAAAGTTGCCAAGGTTGGAGACTCCTGCTGTAGATCCATTAGACACTGAGATGGACATAGACCATTCAAATAGGGCATCCTACCTAGCAGAGATCCAGGATAATACATTTTGACCAGAAAGTGATCTGACCACAACAAAGCGTAGAGTCTTGTGACTGAATTTGAGGCTTTAGCATAGAACCTATTTTTGTGGCTGCAGAGATATGGGGCTATGAGTTTCACAGGAGGACGAAACTCAGTTTCTATTGCACAATGACTGCAACTGTCATCATGCTGTTTAGAATACTTTTCAATAAATAAAGAAAAGGTGACTAAATAAAGTTTAAATAGATTAAAACAATGAAGACAAAGAAAAGAAAAAGTCCTCCTGATTGCAAAGAATAGATCTCCTTAGATTCTAAGACACATTCAAGTGAGATATCTGAAGATGAAATGCTATTTCACACAAAATGTTCCCTGCACAAAATAAGGGTGGAAAGCAAATCTATGTGATAGAACTTCCAATAATCGTCAAGCATAACACATTTCAACATTGCAGTTCTGCTATTTGAAGTGCTGGGACTCTATTGGGGGAAGGTGCCTCAAAGAACATAGTGAGAAAGGTCTCTAGGTGTCAGAAGGGAAATATGTCAAATATTGAGAAGAACAGGTACCAGAGGTGGATTTCAGCAGGTTCTGACCAGTTCTGGAAAACCGGTAGCGAAAATTTTGAGTAGTTCGGAGAACCGGTAGTAAAAATTCTGACTGGTCCTGCCCCCATCTATTCTCTGCCTCCCAAGTCCCAGCTGATCAGGAAGAAATGAAGATTTTACAGTATCCTTCCCCTGGAGTGGGGAGGGAATGGAGATTTTACAGTATCCTTCCCCTGCTACGCCCATCAAGCCATGCCACACCCACCAAGCCACATCCACAGAACCGGTAGTAAAAAAATTTGAAACCCACCACTGGCAGGTACCGTAGAAAAATGCCAACTTGTGGTAAGGAACCTTAGGGAAGGGAAGAGGTGCCAACAGCCATACAATACTGACATCTCAAAGCCAAATCTATCACGCTATGAAGAAAATCTCCCCAAAATAAGTCACAAAGCAGCCAAGCAGAGAAGTTTTAATAAGAAACAATTGTCAAATTGATGCCATGGCTTTCCTATTTGCCTCCAGGTGACGGTTCTTGAAGCTAGTGAACGTGTGGGAGGACGAGTGACCACTTATCGAAATGACATAGAAGGCTGGTATGTCAATCTGGGACCCATGCGTCTCCCTGAGAGACACAGGTGAGATGTGACATGATCATGTTTACTTATCTCTTCTCTTTGCATACTAAGAAGACTGGAGGGTCGTGGAGGTATGTCCCGAAACAACATTGCTATTTTCGATTCTGGGAATCCAGCATTAAATTCCACATATTTGTAAGGGTAGTTCATTACCCATTTAAAACTTGGCAACAGAACCTACAGCAATTTATCGTGCTCTGGAAAGAGGTCCTAAAACAGCACCTAGTGTGACTAAAAAGGCCAATTCAAGAGTGACGATCCCTTCCACACTGAGGGCAGATACATTCTGTCCCCTGCCCAGCCCCCAGATTTCGCTGGTTCCGGGACTGCCTCTTTGCCTCAGCCTGCAGAACACGTGTCTCTTCGAATTGGAGAAGGCCATGCTGCGTCTTTAGCCTCCAAGCTGAATGATCGGAGGTCAAGGTTTCCCAGTTGTTAATGTCCATTCCCAGGGGCTTTAGGTCCCTCTTGCAGATATCCTTATATCGCAGCTGTGGTCTCCCTCTGAGGCGCTTTCCTTGCACTAATTCTCCATACAGGAGATCTTTCGGAATCTGACCATCAGCCATTCTCATGACATGCCCCAGCCAGCGTAGACTTCGCTGTTTCAATAGTGTATGCTCCAGAAATAATGCCAGAACAATTATTTCACCTTCACATTTGCATGTTAAATTTCCTGATAATCGGATACTTTTCAGTGCACAGAACTATACATCATTCTATTTTTATTTTTATTTTCACTGTTTTCTCCTTTCCTCTCCCCAGAATTATCCGGGAATATATCAGAAAGTTTGGTCTCCGGTTGAACGAATTTTTTCAGGAAAATGAGAATGCCTGGTATTTTATTAAAAACATCAGGAAGAGAGTATGGGAAGTGAAAAAAGACCCCAGCGTCTTCAAATATCCTGTGAAGCCCTCAGAAGAAGGCAAATCTGCTTCACAGCTATATCGAGAGTCCCTCAAAAAGGTTCAGATAAGTCGTAAAATTTATCTTTAATCAGGAAATTTATGCAATGGCTTGTTTCAAGCATACATAGACGAAAGGTACTAAAAGCATTGTCCAAAACTTGTTTCTCTATCATCCAGAGCTGTCCTGACGGTACGGTCAAAAAAGCCAAAATGAAGGCCATAATGGGATGATTGAGGTTCTGTTTTTTAATGTGCAGGGAGGATTCCCATCTTGACAAAATGATAGCTGTTGAATTCTTGATTGTTTTCCAGCAGGTGCTTTGTTACCAGACAAACCTGATCACTGCAAGGGGAGAGTGGAGTTTGTTGGCCGATAATAGATGGTAGTTAGCCCCAGCAATCATGGTTGGGATGTGTTTCTTCCTTGATAGTTCCTTGATTGGGCTATTGTTTCTTCTTTGGTGAAGTTTACCTGGTCTTGTTTTGGCTTCTCTAGGTTTATTGCTAGGAAAGAATTATCCTGGGCTGTTTATTTCACTTAAAATGCATAAACTAAAGTCAAGGAAGGAATAGCCTGTCTGCTTGATTTTGGCCCAGCCAACCCCTCTCTCTCAACCCAGCCCATTTCACAAGGTTGTTGTGGGAAAATAGGAGTGAGCATTAAATACACTGTCTTGAGCTGTACAAAAATAAGGGTGGTATATAAACAGAACAATAAGTAAAATTACTACTAATAAAATAATAAATTGGTTCTTATTTTAACAAATGTTATACTTGCTAGAATGCATGTATCAATACTACGTTCTTTTAATAAATCTTGCTCAAGAAAGCTCTGAGAGATCCTTGCTTAAGAATAAACCATTTTATTTCAGAGTAATTCCTAAAAACCAGCTTTCAAATGTGGGACTAAGAAAAATGGCATTCAGAAGCTAAGGCCTTAGCACCTGGGATTTCTACACCTCTTAATGTTGTAAAGGTGGGAAACTCTAGTCTAGCCACTCTATGCATCTGATGGATTTATGTCTTTTAATAAAATGTGTTAGTCTGAAATGATGGTATCAGACTCCATCTATCTGATTTTTAACATTAGCCCTAGGTGTCTCTTGAAAATACAACTCCAGCTACCATCCTAAATAAACCCTGAGCAATATTTAATTGCCATTGGGAGCAATTAAAAAGGCAACTCCTAGACTCATCTCCCTTTTCTGATCAGAATGTTCCTGCAACTGCTGGCCATACCAATCTCCAAGACTCACAGAGAAAGGTTAGGGGGTCGGCCACTCAACGCCAATACAATCTGGTATTTGTAGCCTCAGCAAATAAAAAGATGACCAGATGTGGATAAAGTTATTCAATCAGACATCAGTGGTATTTGCACAGCTCTCAACCCACTTGCCAAATTAATCCATTTTCTGAATGGGTTTCAGTTTGATACATTGAAAAGGAAATTATCTTAATGAACTATGTTTACATAAATATGGAATGGAATGGAATAAGTTTGGATTTCCCACCTGTATTCAGTGGCCAATATAAGGACCTATTGCAAACCTTCTTTTTCAGCATTTTAGTGACCATTCAAACTTTCACCGTAAGTTTGAATGGTCACTAAATAGTGGAATTGTTAACTAAGGACTACCTGTAAAAGCTATGTGGGAACCTTGATCTTTTCTAAGTTTGGTTGTTTGTTTGCATCATTACCTGACTAGGTAATATCATCAGTGCTAATGAGTGTGTGGTTTGCTCCCTGTTTACATACAGTACTGTGTCCTGCCAGTACTGGTGAAACTGTGGTTTCCTCCTTAATTAGTTCATTTTTTTTTCCTGCTTGATTGTTTGTCTGATATCAATACTTGCTTATCTGGGTCTTCCAGGAATTCCCTAGCATTTTTGGATTTAGTTTGGTCTCGGATGCTCACAGTTTCCTAGTTGAAAATATGACTGAGTCAGTCTCTTAAGATTAAGGAGATTGCTAGTTGGTATTCATGGATGCGCTCTGCTAGTCTCCTGATTGTATGTCCTACACATTGGCTGTAACAGTCCTTACAATGTAAATTGTAGATGACACCTGTTTTTTGTTCTTGGATTACTGGATCTTTTGCTTTATTTAGGATGGTTTTGGAGGGCCACACAAGCACAAGTTGGCTTGTGTGCTATTGCAATGTCATGTGGTTGTAATAGTCTGTTGGCTGTTTCTGAGATATTATTGGTGTATGGTAGCTTATCCTTTTCACAGCTTATGTCAGTTGTGCTGTGGTGGGTTGAGTGGTCAGGCACTTTTTGATAAAATTGCACAATTATCCATTTTGTTGGAAGGTGGTTCATTTTCCCGATGTTCAAGGTTGCTGCGGTGTGTTTGTGCTCAACTAAATAGTGTTCTTACACAGCTTTTCTTACGGGAGGTTAGATTGTTACTGTAATAATGGATCACTTGTTTAGTATTGGTTGTTTTTCAATAGACTTGGGTTTCTAATTTGTCATCGTTTCCTGTGCTGTTGAGGATATCCAGGAAGGGTAGCAACAGGGGCGAAATTCAGCAGGTTCTGACAGGTTCTGGAGAACCGGTAGTGGAAATTTTGAGTAGTTCGGAGAACCGGCAAATACCACCTCTGGCTGGCTCCAGAGCGGGAGTGGGGATGGAGATTTTGCAACATCCTTTCCCCACGAGTAGGGAGGGAATGGAGATTTTGCAGTATCCTTCCCCTGCCACGCCCAGAGAACCAGTAGGGAAAAATTTCACCCCTGGGTAGCAACATATTGTTTTTTCTCCCCATGTGAATGTTATCACTTGGAATATGTTGTTGATTGTTTCATGTGCATTCTCTACTTGTTCCTTTTTTATTATAACAAAGCTGTTATCTTCATATTGGATCCATACTTTTGGCTGTATGTGTGGGAGTGCCATAGTTTCATTATAGCGCTATAGTTTTATTATACCATACTGACTTTAATAATTTTTCCCATTTATCATAAACATAGTTCAAATCTGTACAGTATAATGATCTATCAATATTGAGTCTACATTTGTCCTTTTTAGGTGTGGTTTTTTTCTTTGGTTTGATGTAATACATTTTTAACGAAATACTTCCTTTTCCTTCTCCTATGTCTCCTTTCTCCTTTCTAAATCATTCTCAGGTTATAGAAGAATTGAAAAGGACTAACTGCAGCTACATAATGAATAAATATGACACCTACTCAACAAAGGTATTTGGATTGTGCCCTGAAACCAAATCTCCAAATAGTACAGTTTGGGGGGGGGGGGTTGGGGGAGGAGTAAGAGGGGTGGGCTTCAAAAATTTTAGCAAGAGGTTTTCTGCCTGGTTGCTGTGTGGGCGTGGCCATGGTGGGCGTTGTCTAGTCAACCTCCTGCACCATGGTGGGGGTAGGGGCATTTTTGCCCTCCCTGGACTCTGGAAGCTCTCTTTCAGCCTCTGGAGTGTGAAAATAGCCTCCCCAGGCTTTGGAGGCCCTTTGGAGGCCAAAAACTGGTCGATTCCGGCCTACCCAAACTTCTGGTAGGCCTGTTTTTTGCCTCCCCGAGCCTCCGCGCGCACCCTGCATTTACCTGCATCCAAAACAGGCCACGTTGGGATTCCTGGGGGGGGGCAGGGCGGGGCCAGCCAGGGGTGGGATTTGGGGGTTCTCCAAACTGCACAGAATCTTAGCTAGAGGTTCTTCCGAACCCCTGCGAATCCTCAGCAGCCCACTCCTGGCGAGTCATCTTTAAGATGTATTATCATGTTCTTCTTACAGTATTATTAGAATATGAGACAAATTACTTACTGAGCCTGAGAGTTTCAAATACTAAAACAGATTGCAATCCAAAGGGCAAGATGGCAGTCAATGACAATGGTGTCATTTGAAGATCCACCTGTATTTTGATAAGGTTCTTATTTTGCACATGCAACACACCTGTAGTAAAAGAAGGAGCCTGGTGGAGCAGTGGACTAAAGCGCTGTTAAGTAGCACTTAGCTGCCAGATGCCTGCAATTACTGCAAGTTCGAATCTCACCAGGCTCAAGGTTGACTCAGCCTTCCATCCTTCCGAGGTAGGTAAAATGAGGACCCAGATTGTGGGGGCAATAAGCTGACTTTGCATAAAAAAGAACACCGCTTAGGGGAGGCTGAAAGCCCTACTAAGCAGGTATATGCAAAAGTATGAAGGCTATTGCTTAACGCATTGTAAGCCGCCCTGAGTCTCCAGAGAAGGGCGGTATATAAATCGAACCAATAAATAAATAAATAAATAAAAACACAGGTTGGAGGGACCTCTTTGTCATGCAGGATTGATGGCAAGTGATTGTGTCTCCCCTAAAGCCACACAATGGCCTTCTTAAAAAGTATCCAAGCCTGACTCAGACACAGCCAGAGATAATGCCTGTTTGGCCTATTTGAACTTAGTTCTCGAAGTGGTGAATGAGAACTTGAGACTCCCCAAATCAATCTGAATTCTGATTACAACATGCTTGCCATAAAGCATCACAGTCGATGACAAATGTAGTAAAGCACAACAAAAAAGTCATTAAGGGCATCACAGAAGTACCAGATTTTCATCTTAGGACATATAGTAATTACATTACATGCTTAACTTTTCTTTGCTCATGCTGGCTTATCTCTAAACTGTCTGTCTGGACTAAGACACTTGGACTATAGTTTGTAAAGGATTTGGCCCAGGAGTGAAATGCTCCCGGTTCAGACCGGATCGCTCAATCCGGTAATGATGGCGGCGGGTGGTTTGGAGAACTGGTAGCAAAAATCCCTGCACCTCCCCATCATGCCCAGCTGAGCTGCACGATCTTCAGAGGCTTTTTTTTTTTTTTACTTTTAAAAGCATTTTTTCTACAACCTCTTCCACTGAAAAAATGCTTTTAAAAATAAAAAAAAAAGCCTCTGATGATCGCGCGGCTCAGCTGGGGTTGTCAGAGGCTTTTCAAAGCATTTTTGTCTGCAACCTCTCCGGCCGAAGAGGTGGTAAAAAAAATGCTTTGAAAAGCCTCTCTGACAATCCCAGCTGAGTTGCCTGATCGGCAGAGGCTTTTCAAAGCATTTTTTGCAACCTCTTCAGCCGAAGAGATTGTAGAAAAAATGCTTTGAAAAGTTTTTTTAAAAAAAAAGTTGGCCACGCCCACCCAGTCACATTAACCCCCACACACACACCAAGCCACGCCCACAGAACCGGTAGTAACAAATTTTACATTTCACTCCTGATTTGCTCTAATGGAGAGGGTGGCCATATTATACAGTATTTAATGAATGAGATGGAATATAATTAGGTTAAACAGCAGGCTACCATGTTGACTCACTGACTGAACAATCCCCTTCTGTTTTGTCCTCCCAAATTCTGGGTCAGAATTGTCAATACTTTCTTTTTTGTGGGTAGATCTTAATAGGCATATACACTTTTATAAGTGTTTCATTAAATTAAATGTATATATGCAAAGTTAAAGTAGTGAAATGCAGGCACAACAACAAAATTTAAAATATAGACTACCTTCCTATTATAACCCTACTTGAGATTTCCCCAGGCATTGGTTATATCATCTCAAGCTTTATCCCCTTTATTGAACATAATGTAAAGGTAGTCCTCAACAGTGGTGGGATTCAAATTTTTTTACTACCGGTTCTGTGGGCATGGCTTGGTGGGTGTAGCTTAGTGGGCAAGGCAGGGAGAAGATACTGTAAAATCTCCATTCCCTCCCCACTCCAGGGGAAAGTTAGTGCAAAATCCCCATTCCCTCCCGATCAGCTGGGACTCGGGAGGCAGAGATAGATGGGGGTGGGGCCAGTCAGAGGTGGTATTTACCGGTTCTCCGAACTATTCAAAATTTCCGCTACCAGTTCTCCAGAACTGGTCAGAACCTGCTGAATACCATCTCTGGTCCTCAATTTAAAACAGTTTATTTAATGACTGTTTGAAGTTACAACAGCAGTGGAAAAATTGACTTATGATTGTTTTTCACACTTATGTCCGCAGCATCTCTGTGGTCATGTCATCAAAATTCAGACACATGGCAACTGACTCCTATTTATGATGGTTGCAGTGTGCCAGAGTGATGTAAATCACCTTTTGTGACTTTCTCACAATCAAAGTCAATGGGGAAACCAGATTCATTTAACAACTGCAGTGATTCACTTAACAACTGTGACAAGAAAGGTCATAATATGGGGGGGAAACCCATTTAACAATTGACTTGCTTAACAACAGAAATTTTGGGCTCAATTGTGGTCGCCAGTCGAGGATTATTCGTAAATTACTTTCAACAAAATGGAAGTTATTTAAGAGACAGATTATTCCCCTGGAGGTCATTAAGTAGAACAATAACAGAATGATTCTGCTTTGTGCTTAAACCTCTAACTCAACATCTCCTCAGAATTAGAAGAATTTGTCCGATTTGCAGCCCACCAGTTTCAATCTGAAATCAAGCTCCTTGCTCTGAAATGATATTTTTGAACAATGTATTGCAGACGAATTTAAGGATTTCTCTCCTCAAACAGGAGTATCTAATTAAAGAAGGAAATCTGAGCCGCGGAGCTGTAGATATGATTGGAGACTTACTGAATGAAGATTCTGGCTATTACATATCTTTTATTGAGAGCCTGAAAAGCGATGATATCTTCTCTAATGAAAAAAGGTAAGCAAACTTGTATCACTTGGATTACATGACTTCCTCATCATTGTCTCAATTTAAAGATGAAACCCTTGTTTATCCATTGAAGGATCCATGGGAATTTGCAAGGAACTGGAGATAAGAAATCTTCGGGAGGGCAGGCACATACACGGTCACAGTCAAATCCTCCCTATATTGGTGAGGGAATGTACACAAACTCTTAACTCTTTGCTGCCAAATAAAGTCATGACATAGCTATGTTGGGCATAGGTTATTATTTATTTATTTATTTTATTAGTTCGATTTATATGCCGCCCTTTTCCGGAGACTCAGGGCGGCTTACAATGTGTTAAGCAATAGTCTTCATACTCTTGTATATACCTGCTTAGTAGGTCTTTTCCCCCCCACCCCAACCCTAACCCAAACCACAAGCTGGCAACTGAAACCAAAGCTAACATACTATTGCAGTTGCAAGAAATGGCAATTATCAGTAATGGTAACATTATCGGTAGATATTAATTTTTATATCAGTTAGAAATGGCATATGAAGTAGATTGTCATTTGTGCAGACTTGTTCTATATGTAACGTCTCCTCTGCGTTAGTTTAAACCAGGGGTCTGCAACCTTAAATACTCAAAGAGCCATTTGAACAGAAAAGAAAACACTGGGAGCCACAAAACCTGGGTGGGCGTGGCCAATTTGATATCACTCACTTCCACCAGTCACATGACTCCCCCTAGCCACACCTACCCAGACAGTCATTAGGACAGAGGGCCAGTTGTTAAAAAACACCGGAAACCACAAAATCATTTTGACATATCTCTCTTTCCCCTCCCTCCCTCCCTCCCTCCCTCCCTCCCCCACTCTCTGTATCTCTCTGTCTCTGCCCTGGCCGCTTCTCCATCCCCCATTGTCGCCCTTACCTTCTCAGGCCAGGCAAGGAGTGACTGAAAGGGGATGGCGAAGGGCAGGAACAGCCTGGTGGGATCACTTGACAGGGAGCCACAGCAGAGGGCCCAAAGACCCTCATGCGGCTCCAGAGCCGCAAGTTGCTGACCCCTGGTTTAAACCATTAGGTTAACAGTTGCCATATATCCTTTTTGAAGCATTCTGTAAAACAAACCTTTGGACTAACATTCTGGACTGTAAAGACAGCCTTTCATGTTCATTCTGCAAGGCTTAAAGCATTACTCTTTGTATTTTATTAAAACACAATTAATTCTAAAATAGACAAAAAGGGTATCAGAATTTTGCAAACTTTGCTTAGTATTGCAAATATTCACACAGTCAGTTTCTATATCAAGGCTTGTATAGTATTTGCTTATCCAAACTATACACAATAAGTGTATCAATACACTTATTGATAAGAACTAAGTTGTTCATTTCAGCTCAGGTATAAATTTCCCTTTTTATATTCTTCCTCCTCTCAGATTTACGGAATCATATTTGACAGCTATTGCTGAGTAGACAACTTGAGATAATGCCATCTTCTCTTCCAAACATAAAATGTGTTTACATAAAATACGTTAAAAATATAAAATTATTTTATCAGTGTATATTTTTCTGGGATAAATTTGTATAGATAAAATAATATTGCCAATAATTTTGAAAGGCATTTTTAAATCAAACTTATTTCATATTTCAGGTGTCTGCTTATCTAAGAATTAAACAAAAGCATTATGATAGGGGTATCTTTTGTTTAATGGCCCTACCTGGTGAGATCTCTGATATGGTATCACTAGATATTGTAACATTGTAAGCCGCCCAGAGACACCTCGTGGTGAAATGGGTGGCAAACAAATCTGATAAGCAAAAATAACAAATAATAGATAGCAAATTCAAAGTAAGAATAAAGCATGTTCTTTCCTTTCTATCAAATCTGCTGCCAACCTCTTTCCAGAACTGTTTTCATTTCATTGTCCTGTGACCTTTTATTCACTAATATCATTATCCAATTTTAGGAGAGCAGGTTTTTACTTCCTCTGTCCCATTTTGGTCTTGCAGATTTGATGAAATTATTGGTGGATTTGATCAGTTGCCTATATCCATGTATAAAACCATTGCGGGAAGTGTGCATCTCAATGCCCGAGTAATCAAGATACAACAGAATGCTGAGAAAGTCAGAGTGGAATATCAAACCCCGGCAAAGACCTTGTCAAATGTGACAGCTGATTATGTCATTGTGTGCTCCACGTCAAGGGCCACCCGTCGCATCAATTTTGAACCACCCCTTCCACCAAAAAAAGCACACGCTTTGCGGTCTACCCACTACAGAAGTGGCACCAAGATCTTCCTCACTTGCACTAAGAAGTTTTGGGAGGCTGATGGCATTCATGGTGGGAAGTCCACAACTGATCTTCCATCCCGATTCATCTACTACCCTAACCATAACTTTACTAGTGGTGTTGGGGTTCTTGTGGCCTATGTCCTTGCTGATGATGCCGATTTCTTTCAAGCTCTTGATATCAAGAGCGCTGCTGATATTGTCATTAATGACCTTTCATTCATCCATCAGCTGCCCAAGAAAGAGATCCAAGCCCTCTGTTACCCCTCAGTGATTAAAAAATGGAGCCTGGATAAGTATGCTATGGGTTCTATAACCTCCTTCACTCCCTACCAGTTTCAAGAGTTTAGTGAACCACTCGCTCAACCTGTAGGCAGAATCTACTTTGCAGGGGAGCACACTACCAAAGTTCATGGTTGGTTGGACAGCACAATTAAGTCAGGGCTGACAGCAGCAAGAGATGTGAATCGTGCTTCTGAGAAGCCATCAAAAATCCGCCTGATCAGTGACAATCAACTTTAAGAAGGAGGTCAACAAAAGGAGAATTATAAACAGAGAACTACAATCACTTTCCCCATTCTGGCAACTTCCAGATGTTTCAGACTAAAATTTCCAGAATACTAACTGGGAATTCTAGGAGTTTGGAGCCGGAAGGAATTGGGGGAAGTAAGCTGATTTGGCCTAACTAAATTATCAAGTTATATCAGCCAAAACATGTCAGAGGAAACAAAAATAAACCACAGAATGAAAAGGATTATTAGGGTCCCACCCCAATTTGGAAAGGAAATCCTCTCAGGAAAATCTATATGTACTACTAAAACTCTCATTTCTGTAATCTTTAACAATGGCGAAACAACGCATCATAGGGCAAGAATTTTCAAACCAAAATACCTCTAATGGGCTAACTTACAAAAAGAACCCAAAATCCAGAACCCATGATTCTCCTAGTACTAAAATTTGGCAAATTTTATGAAACATTTTATGTCATTTGTTTGAAATGGTATAGCATTTCCTGCTTGAGCAGGAGGTTACATTAGAAGACCTCCAAAGTCCCTTCCAACTCTGTTATTCTGACAGAAAAATTATCATAAAAACAGCTTATGTTATAATACAAGATACCATAAAACATTTCCTGTGCTGATGTTTTACTGTGCTATAAAGTTCACCATGCACTATTTTCAAGGCAGTTGTATCTGTGAATGTGTCCCAACTTTTCAGTGAAGATAGTATATTAGCTCTGCCATTGTTCAAGTGATTGAGGAATCTAGTAAAGAACTGTCTCTAACGGGATGACCAATAAGTCATGGTTGTCTAAAGATAGGGCCCTTCTGTTGCCCTTTTCAAAAAGGAATGGAAAAGAAACAGAGTTGTTATTAAAAGTGGCTTTGTGTGTTTATGCTACTACTTCATTTTAAAAGATCTCATATGTATGACCATATTTCTTTGGTACGTCAAGCATCTACTATTCCTAAGCTTTGATTCTATATTTCCTGCAACCATCAAAAATTGTCAGTGCTACAGGTTCACTGATGGGGAAGAAAACACATTATGGCATCAAGCAGGCCTGTAGACAGCCTTAATTTGTAATTTCTCCAATTTGCAACCCTCCTCTGATTAGAGTTCTGGAAAACCAGGAATACAGAAAATGATAATAAAAGCATACATTGTAATTTTCCCTGCCTCTTCAATTTTTTGGTTTGTTTGTTTCTGCTTTAAATTGGGCCTAGAGATGGAGAAATCCCTGGGACTCTAAACTGCCTAAACCAGTTTAAAATAATCTGGTTTTAAATTAAAATAAAATTATTTTTTAAAATTTATTTATTATTTATTTATTTTGTCGCATTTCTATGCCGCCCCACTCCCAAGGGACTTTGGGCGGCTAAAATTAAATTAAAACCACTTTAACAAAAATGCAACATGCTTTGCATTTAGAACTGCTAATTGTTAGGAATTCTGTGTAAAAGCACCACATAGAGCAAACAAAGAGTACAGTCACCGTGTGCCTTACTGCTCAACTATGTAACTGTAACAGGAAACAGGAAACTCCTTAGACCAAAAGAGCATAGAGTATATACAATCTGTAACCATTGACTGTCATCTACTGGCTAAATACTACTGTAGTTGTTGCATAAAAATACATTCCAACAATGAGTTCCAACACTAATGGAGAGTCTATGGGTGGAGAGTCTAATGAACGAAGACTGCACCCTTAAAGAGATAAAGTTATCTGGCTAGTACTACATGTTGTCAACGTTCACAATCCAATTGTGCAGACCAACTGTCAGAATTCCCAGGAGTAGACAGAAGTGAACAGCTAAAATAGGAGAAGTTACTGTCTCCCTTAAGTTTCTCCAAACAATTATGTATCTTCTTGTTAACTTTCAACCACGTTACCTTTTCTGATGAGCAACTTTTGAACCACCTGATGTGCTATTGTAATTGTGAGTTTTTCTAATAAAGTTACTGCCTGCATTAGAATTTATGTATGGTCAGGGTGGCTACTTTTGTGCTTTTAATAGATATTTTATATGATCTTTGATATGAAGAATGGCAAAGAACTATTCACAAGGCAGTTCCTTTGCTTTGGAGGAGCTCTTTATGTTTCTGCAGGTTAATTCTACAAAATTATTTCTCAGTTGTTTATATACTAAACTTTATATGCCAATAAAGATAATTGTTGCAGTTATCATCATGATTCCATGGTCCTTATCTGCCATTATAAGGACCAGAGAATCATGATAGTGACTGAAACAATTGTCTTTATTGGCACAGTATAAAGTATTCTAAAGTTTAGTATATCTATTAAAAGCACAAAGGTAGCCACCCTGGCCATACAAAAATTCTAATGCAGGGTGCACGTGAATGTGACCCTATACAAGTAGTCTTCAATTTACGAGCACAATTGAGTTCAAAATGTCTGTTGTTAAGTGAGTTTTTACGATCTTACTTGCCACAGTTGTTAAGTGAATTACTGCAGTTGCTAGTAACCTGGTTGTTAAGTGAATCTGGCTTCCCCTGCTTGTGAGAAGGTCACAAAAAGTCATCACATGACTTTGGGACACAGCAATCATCATAAAGATGAACCAGTTGCTAAGCATCTGACTTTTGATCGTATGATCATGGGAATGCTGCAACTGTGAAAAACAGTTGTAAGTCACATTTTTCACTGCTGTTGTAACTTTGAACAGTTACTCAGCGAACTGTTGTAAATCAAGGATTACCTGCATTAGCAGTTTTCGGTTCTTCACATTAACAAAAAGTCAGTTCTCCCTCAAGTCAGTCTCAACTCCTGATGACTATATGGATAGCCCATGTAATTGTTTTGGCAAGTTTATGGAAGAGGTTTACCGCTTTTTTTCTCGGATTTTTCAGTAGCCTCCCATCCAAACACTTATCAATTCCCACCTTTCTTAGCCTGCTTGGGATTAGCCAGAGAGTGAGAAAGAGAGAGAGAGATGGAGAAAGAGAGATGGAGAGAGAGAGAGATGGAGAAAGAGAGATGGAGAGAGAGAGAGAGATGGAGAGAGAGAGAGATGGAGAAAGAGAGATGGAGAGAGAGAGAAAGAGAGAGATGGAGAGAGAGAGATGGCGAGAGAGAGAGATGGAGAGAGAGGGGGGAAAGAGTGAAAGAGAGAGAGGGAGAGAGAGATGGAGAGAGAGAGATGGAGAGAGTGAGAGATGGAGAAAGAGAGATGGAGAGAGAGAGAAATGGAGAGAGAGGAGGGGAGTGAAAGAGAGGGAGAGAGATGGAGAGAGAGAGATGGAGAGAGTGAGCAAGGGAGAGAGAGAGAGAGAGAGAGATGGAGAGAGTGAGAGAGAGAGAAAGAGAGAGATGGAGCAGAAAAACTAGAACTACTGAGCAAGGGGAATTACTGTTATTTGTATACTATTGTAAGATCACCTGCTACAGGAAAAATACCATGCATTGCATGCAAACCTGGCCATAGTTTTATCTGGCTTTTCTTTTTAGATATTAAGTGACTATTAAGTGATCTTGTTTTGGTGTTGGGTTCTTTACTTTGATGCCTTGTTTTGTGTGGTGAGTTCTAGCAGGAAGGAGTGATAGAAATTGTAAAAAATAAATTATTCTGAGTAAGGAAAAGACAATCCATTAAGTAACCCATGGTTATAAAATGTATACATTTAAGAAATGAACTCTCCAGAAATCTGTTGAAGTTGTTATTGATACTTGAAGAGAAAATTGATAAGCAACTCTTACGTTTCAGAAAACAGCACCTCGAAGAATTACTCCATTTTATAAAATGTAAACTCGCACTCAGGGTCTTGAAGGATTATCCCTATTTCATAAAAATATACCTTTGGGCTTTTTCCAAAATGTGTTCCCTGACCGGGAACCGAACCCAAATCTCAAATGTCTCTCCCCAGACTCAACTTCCTCGCAAGCGTCAGTGCGGCAGCCTCTCCGTTTCCAAAGAGAGCTACAGGATTTCTATTGCCCGATCACACCCGCAGACTGTTGCTCTCTTTTATTTAGCAAACAGCTCGAACACAAAGCAACACTCGACTTAGGAAAAACGGGGGCCAAAGAAAGCCAGCAGCCCTGCAGATATCGCAGCTGAACCTCTCGTTCCGGCGCGGGTTGATTCAACAACTGCAAATTCGCTCTTGTCTCAAGTGATCCCTCCGGCGCGTTCCTGGGGGGGAGCGGGAGGGGGCAGGTAATCCGGAGGCAGTTCTATGGGCCATTTGGTTCCCTAACATGGATGGTTGAGTGAGCTTTGATACCTTCTTTTCCAAAGAGAGAGGAAAGGTGGATTCAGGATTTAGGAGATTTTTGAACCAAAATAAGATAATGAACCAGTTATCCAGTGCATGGCAACCAAAGGCTCTCTAGCCTCTCCTGGAACGCACATGGGAAATGATTTTACTGCAAGCCCGTTGGGTTTTTGTTTTTTTCCCTTCCTTAATTTGCCTCCTTTCTTAAAGAAAAATCAGCCCTGACAGTCCTTTGGAAGGACAAATATTGAAGCTGAAGGTGAAATACAAAACGAAAGCAAAAGGAGAAGGAGACGGGGACAGCAGAGGATGCGATGGTTAGATAGTGTCATTGAGGCAATGAGTATGAATTTAAGATTGCTTTGGGGGACAGTGGAAGATAGCGGGGGGGGGTGTTAAGTTGGGTGATTGAAGAGGCAGGACGCAGAGTTCCAAATAAACAGCTCTTTATTCTGCAAACAGATACAATACAAACTCTCTGCCTGTCCGACATCTTGCCCTTTAAAGGGGAGCTGTCAGACAGCTCAGCCAATCAGATTTACTTATTTTCCCGCCGGACAGGTGGACCTGAGTGAAGACTACGTTCCTTGGCTTGACTCCTCATTAGCATACATAACGTGGGGGAGGAGGAGGAGGAGGGTTGTGCTATGGTCCGTGGGGTTGGGAAGAGCTGCGCACAATGTAGCGACTGAATAACAACAAAATTTGCCTCCCTGCATTTCAAATTCATTATTCCGTGGTTCTGAAATCTGGGACCAAGAGAGTTAGCTCTCCGCCTGCTCTGGCCCACCTTGCAGAGATTGGTGAAGTGTTATAAGTGTATATTTGCAGTTCTTCCAATCTCTCTTCCCAGATTTAGTTCCTTGTAGTTTGGGATGCTGCAGATTGGAAGGAAAAT